GAATTTAGCTAGACTTTCCTAAACTGAAACAATACATATAGCTGTGGACATTTATATGTTCTACACAGTTTGGCTTCTTACTTTCAGACACTAATTTCTGTAGCTTCCCCTATTTCTTCATGAGGTAAAGTCATTTGATACACAAAAAGTATATTTGTGCCTATTAGTATAGAGTATATTAAGTTATATAACTTATATACAATTTTGTTGTTTTTAAGCATAGTCCAAGTGTTTCGCTCAGCTATTCTTAGAACTTCCAACCTTAGGGATTCTAATAAAAACTGTTAGCATTATTCTTTAAATTGTTAGATTATGATTGCTAACTATTCATCTTTCTATGTGTTTTACTCTTTAATTACATTTCTGGAAAGCATCACAAGTATTATGCTCATTTTATAGATGAGAAGGCATCTGCGAGGTAGTCAGGGTGGTTATGTGACACTAGGCCAGTCACTTAACTTCTCAGTGCCCTAGGCATGTCTAAGAATTGGTGGTTTCCTTTCCAGGAAGTTCCTACATTAGCAAAATCACTGGTACTGTACAAGTAATGTGGAAACTGCAGCTCAAAGAATTGAAATTATTTGCTTAAAGTCATGTGGTATCAGAATTCAAACCTAGAGTATTTTGATTCAGAGTTCCACCCAGATCAAACATAGCCTCATGATTCAGTAGTGCTAATCAAATACATGAATAAATTCCTCTAGTCTTCACCAGAGAGTAAGATTCTAGAGCTTGCTGTTTGGATTATGTATTTTCTAGTGGGGAGAATCTATCCTATATGCTGCTGACAGATTAATTTTCCTAAAATAGCACTTTCATCATGCCTTCTCAAAAACTAATTGCCTACAGGATAAAAATCCAAACTTTTTAATGTGATTTGCAAGGCAGCCGCTTCCTGCCACATCCAGACATGAACCCACTTTTCTAGTTTGACTGGTCTACTTTCCCCCTAAACATACCTTTACATGTTAGTGGCTCTTAGTTTTCATTTGTGCCCTTCTCTTCATCTGTTTAATTCCTGTTCACTTCAATTCTCACCTCCTCCCTGAAGCTTTCTCTGATTATTTTCCCTACAATAATCTCTCTTTGAACTTTTTTGACATGTAATTGTCTGTACCACTCATTTGTCATTTCTAGGGCCTAAGGCCTTCTGTCTTTTTTTCCCTGCCCCATTGTTACTTATCTTCCCACAACCAGATTATAAGTTCCATAGTCACCAATGCTGTTAAAAGTATTATGGTGCCAGTATGTCAGGAAAAAAAAAAAAGATTCTAGGATATCTCTAACATGTGATCAAGACAAATCAACCGGGGCAGCTAGATGGCACAGTGGATAGAGCACTGGCCCTGGAGTCAGAGGACCTGAGTTCAAATCCGATCTTAGACATATAGCACTAGTTGTGTGACCCTGGGCAAGTCACTTAACCCCATTGCCCTTCCTCCTCCCCCCCAAAAAAAAAGACAAAGCAGTTAACCTCTCTAGGCCTCCATTTTCTTTTCCATAAAATGAGGATATTAATACTTGTACTACTTACCTACCTCACTGAGTTATTAACATCATTTTATAAACTTTAAAGTACTATATACTGGGCTTATATCTTTTTTAGCCCAGACATTCAGGAAAGTAGTTCTTAGACTGGGGGGAATAAAAAAGATTTAGGAACTAATCTAAGGCTAATCCCACATTTACAAGTTATTACACAGCAAAGCTCTGAAAATGAGTGTTTTCACAACACAACCCTAATTATGCAATATCAGCTATATTTTTGAGGGTGGAGACAAGGAAACTGTCCCTGAACCAGGTCTTAGCACCTCAGAATTTCCTGTCTACCCTCCACTACCACATTAGCACAAGGAAGAAAAACTTTGGCTTCTAAGAAGTCGCAAATAAAAGTTGTTGTTTGATGATTTTCTTTGCTCCTTCTTGCCCTGTTGCTTCCCAACCCCTCCAACTCCCAAACCCAGCTCAATTTCACCACTTCTTGATGTGCTCGGAGTTGTTCTACTTGTACTAGGGAGCCAACATGCTATTCCACTGGAAACAGTCAGTGTTTGACTAGATTGACTCTAATATAATACCAAATTTAGCATGTCTTGTTTGCAAGAATATCCCCCCCAAAAAAAAATCCTACTTGTCACAGGCAGAGTTGTAGTTTCCAACAGTACTCCTGTACAAAGTAGACCTCACTTTTAGTTGAACTGTCAGATTAAATTGCGTTAAGCCTTCTTATCTGTGCATTTTCTTGGTGATATCATTGGAGCCCTTGGGTCCAGTTATCTTCTCTGCACTGGTGACTCCTCTTCTAAACTTCAGGCCTGTTGTGCATATCCAATTGGATATCCCAAAGGCATCTCAAACTCGAACATGTCCAAAGTAGAATTCTCGATCTTTCCTCCAAACCATTCCTTCTTCTTTCCTCATTTCTGCTGACGATAATACCGTCCTTCTGGTCACCCAAGTTGGCAATCTCAGAATGATCATGATTCTTCCTCCCTCATCCAGTGGATCCATTCATTTTCCACATTGGTTCAAGTCTGCCTATGCAGCATCCATCCCATCCCACTTTCTCTGTTCACACAGTTCTACTCTACATGCATTTCAGGCCCTCATCACCTCTCAGTTGGTCTATTATAATAGCCTTCTAATTGTTCTCTGAGAGAAAGGAGAAAAACTAAGAATTACAGCTGTAACTCTACTTCTGAGGTGCCTTTTTTTCTCCCTGTGGAGTGGGGGAGAATGTGAGAGATAATGAGAGGATCTATGAGATAAACTATGGGGAAGGCAAAGGGGAGAAGAAAGTCTTGATTGTTCTGACTTGTCTTCTACACCACTGCTGAGTTGATATTCCTAAATCTAATCTTTGTAAGTCTGACTGTGCCACTCCCTCTTGCCTCCAGGATAAAGCACACACTCCTGTTTTTTTAAAGCCTTTCCCAGTCTGGCTTTAGCCTTCTTTTCAGGGCTGTATTCCTCATCACTCTCTTTCATGCCCTTTATTTTCCAGACAAACTGGCCTACTTGTAGTTCCATGTACATGGCACTGCATTTCCCATCCCTGTGCCTTTGCACAAGCTGTACCTATCCCATGCCTGAAATGTACTCCTTCCCCTCTCAGAATCCCAAGTATCCTTCAGAGCCCAGCCCAAGTTCCACCTCTTAGAGAAAGCTACTTTGATTCTTTTGCCCTCTCCTCAGAAATAACTTTATGTCTACTTTGTGTGTGTGTGTGTGTGTGTATTGTGTTTGCTTTTTGGTGTTCCTGTTATTTCTCCCAATAAACTAAACTCCTTGATTGTTTCCATTTTTAGTTTCATATTCCTGAAACCTAGGAATTTTAATACTCCTTGAGTATATCTCCATCTTGATCTTCATGTGCTAGGAAATTGGAAAAAGATCACAAAAGCTTAGTAATAAAATAAAACAATATGTATGTTGAAGATGTATATTGAATCCACTAAACAATTTTTAAAGTTCTATGTACCTTGAAGACCAGTCTTTTAGAAAGAAAAGTCAGGATCTTATTTTGGGGACAGGTGGGGATACTCTACCTTCGCTTATCTGACCCCTGAGAACCTTAATTATATGTTACCTATGTGAGATAGTCTAGCAAGGATTTGTTTTGTAAAAACCTAAACTAGTGTAATTGAAAGTCCAGTAGTCTATAAAGCACTTTGAAAGCATCTGAATATGCCAGTGTGTTATATGTTTATGGATTTATAAAATTCAGTAGATCAGGTATCACTGTCTTCACTGGTTATTTCTGACCCAACTGCCCTAAATCTGCAAATGCGTTGTAATCATCCAGATGTGTGTGCATGGTGGTTCTCCTTCTCTTAGTATTTCAGTCTCATCTATTATCCTGTGCTAATGTTAACAGACAACAAAATTATTTTAATCAAAATCTCCCAATCAGTTATGATTAATGAATTATATGAATTGTTTAAATCTTGGTGATTCAGTTGGGTATATTATTAGTCACAAATGACAATGCCTCTGCACCATAGCCCACTGTTGAATAGCTAGAACTAAAAAGAAATGCTAACCCATTCTTTGGTAATGAGTTTATCTGAACTTAATGAAGCTGCTCCCCCCAAACAGATACATTTAAGTCACCCAGCTCTGATTCTAAACCTTTCCACTTGCTAGGACTTGCCAAAGCTTACATTCCTGGAGAAGGTAGGGTGGCCTCCACCACAAGAGCATCTAATTAAAAAACTTTAGGATAATAACTATTAAAGCTCTAATTTGGTTTTCTTGGTGCTATTCACTTCTCAACATTAAATGCTGATCATCAATATTTATTTGAAATTGAGATATACATGTTTAGCTTTTTTTTTAAGGGAGTTCTTATTCTTGGGAAAAAATGTGTCTTATCTGTTCAGAATTAATCTTTTATTATTGCCTCTAAAAAATTATATTAGCTGTTTAGGCATATGAAAAATCCAAACAGAAATAGAATGTTTTACTTAGAAAGTTTTTGGGAATCAGTTAATTTCTAGTAAGAAAAAACTACAATAAAATCTGCCGTAAACTTTTTTTGTTGTTGTTGAGTAAATAACAGTATAGGTGCTTGGTTTTTTTTTTAATCGGATCAGTCCAGGAAAGTGGGCAATTTTAAGAAATCATCTGACTGGACCAGTCCTGGAAATTGCTGCCAAAAACAACAATTTTTTTAAATGGCCTGGCAAGAAGCTAAGACTAAACTGGAAAGGTTGGACTTAAGCTATATATTAGGTTGTCCTAGCCTAGGAACCAGGTCTTTCTCAGTACCTTTAGAGTTCACTTATAATACTGTGTAATCTGCTGATAGCAATCTGGTACTTATGTTTGGGTAAGATAATTGTGCCTTTGTCTTCTCCATAAACTCCCAATCATTAGTTTCCCAGCAGTTTTGAGAGTAGATCTTTCAGTGATTTCCTTGATGTTAAGTAAGGAGTATTTAGAAGAGATGGTCTAAAATTGAACTAACTTTAGCCTAAAAGAATGTTGTTTTGTTATAGAGTGAACTTACTAGAAGACAGCAAGGACCACATAAAATTTTGAAAATGGAAAACAAAGCACCTGTGGATTCTCATAAAGTTACCAAAGAGTCTATCCTAACAGAAGAGGTACAAAGTTTTTTTTCTTCACCTTTCCATATTAATTGCTGCATCTTTTTTACCTCAAATGGTTATCCCTAATACATGAGGACAGAATTCCAAAGAGATGTTTTTTAAGATCCAGATTTTACTTTACTATGGAAACGGTGGTATGTCTATTATTAGTTGTCCCCATAAGTAACTAAAGGTGAAATAAACCTCTGGAAATTTTTGAGTTGTAACATGGTAGTAGTCTCAATTTTTATTAACTAAAGCACTGGATGCATTTTAGGCAAACTAACTTAAGACTTAGTATCATTTTGGATACTGTTTACAGAGTTAGAAGACTTAAACCATTCATAATACCTATATTGTCCTTGTAGTCCTATAGAGGCTATGTCCACTGTTACTGTCTCTTTTAAAAGGAGAAAAGCTAAGAATCAGGGGTGTAATTGTCATTCTGTCAGGCACCTCTTTATTCTTATGAAGTGAAGGAGTGTGTGAGAATTTAACTTTGATCAGTGAAGATCTATGAGATAAACTGGAAAAGACAGAAAAAGGTGAGGAACTTTTTTCTTGTTAGACATAACTTTCTGAAGAAATATTAAAGATAATTTTATAAAAATTAATCTGTATAGAAATTATTAAGATTGAGGGTCTGAGAAAAGCGTAAAAGAAAATTATATTGTCATCCTGCATAAACAAGTATTTTATTATTGATTTATTGTTAAAATTATATATTCAGTCATTTTAAGGGATTTTATATAAAAATATCATTAATTATTGTTGGGAAAGAAGGTATTTGATAAACTAAGATGGGGCTATTAAATTTAGTTTAAAGAGATGTTGAAATTTTATTAATAAATGAGGAAATATAAAAACATACCCTTGGATTACCCTAGAGCTCTGAATAATAAGATTAAATATGAGAATGAGTCAAGTAGGAGTTTGAGGGGTGACTGACAAATGAAGGTGGTGACCTATGTAACCCTGCTTTTACACTTTTTTTTTAACACTAAAGACCTAAAATAGTTGTCAGATGTAGCACTGAGTTCCAGCAATAATGTATAGTTGATGTTTGTTCATCATTTTTTTTTGTGGGTGTTTGTTTTGGGTTTTGTTGTTGTTTTTCAAATTAGTCCTTTCGTTTTGGAAAGGTTCCAGAGGATAAGTTTGAAATCATCCTGAGAATTCTGATCCTAGTACCCTTCCAGGATGCCTTTTTTGCTCTAAAAATGTCTTTATCGTGTTTATAAACTGATCTGTTAATGATAATTAGGTTCTTGCTAGCAAAAAGTAGAAGAGAAATACTATAAGAAAAGCATACTGTTTTATGTACATAGATTACCTTCTTAGTTCAAAATATACCAGAACTAAATTAGATTTTATAATCCTAATCCCACAGTGAAATATGTAGGCAGTAAAAATCCTGGTATGTACATTGTATATGAATAGCATGGATCATAAAAGTCCAGCCATTAAATATAAAGTATACCCCCCATAATCAGCATTCCAATATAGCTTTCTCAGCTCTTTGTTCTTAAGAACAAATCAAACAAAAATACTAATCAATTCCCAAGCCTAATAAATTCAGAAGACTTCCTAATCTTTTTTCCAAACCTCTCAGTGCTTCCCCAAGAAATAATGTCATTTCTCCGGGTAAGCAGGCTTAAAATCTGAGCTTGTAGACAGTCTTTATATCCATAAGTAGAAAGTTTTTAAGAGGATGTATTCTTAGGTTATAATGGCTTTCTACTCAGACTGACCAGAAAAAGCCTTTCTGTCCCAATAAAAGCACTCTTTGGTTTGAAATTTTCCCAATGTGTTATTCTTACCTCCTTTTAGTTGATTTCAGAAGGAAAATGGGTCAAGCTTGAACAAACAACCTATGTGGATCCCACTGGTAAAACAAGGTAAAAAAAAAATTTCCTACTCAAGAAATGCTCAGTCCTTGTATTCTGAGAATCTATTCATGACAGATCTATAAATACTTCTTTTATTCTAAATGTATTTTAATATTAGACATAAGAGGTAATCTGGCCAATCAGTTATTTTCATTTTAATGGCATATTTGGCTTCTGAAAGGCCTAAATAAAGTTTAAAAGCATACTTTCTACTCACTTAAAGTGAGTTCAAATCTCATTTTATTCTGTCTGATTATGGCATAACATGCCACTTAAATAAAATTTAAAGGTAACTTAAGTTTTTGGCTGCCTGTCATCACATTAGACTGGGCAAAAAAATTTACACCAATTCTAAATTTAAATTTTTGAAAATTTAGTAAAATGTTTATAATGTAGTTCCTTGCATTAATGATTGTGGCTCCTTTCCACCAATTAGTGAGACTTCTGCAAAAAATCTCAGAACGTTGTACAATAGCACCCAGCCTCTAACACATTAAATTGCCTGAGAATAGAAATTGTTTCATTCTTTATATTTGTGTCTTCAGACCCTAGTACCTAGTACTTAGGTATCTTAATGCTTGTTTAAATTGTACTGAATGCTTATTGATTTAATGCTTTTAAAACTAAATCTAAGGACTTAAAGAATGTTGGGTTTTTTTTCTTTTTTCAAAGAAACTTACACTATGTGCATACATAATCACATCAGAGGAAGTTAAGAATAAGATGAGAAAATCTCTCCTTTTGCATCCTTTGAAAGAAGAGGTCAGAGTGGCTAGGTGGCACAGTGGGTAGAGCACCAGCCCTGCAGTCAAGAAGACCTGAGTTCAAGTGTGACCTGGGACACTGACTAGCTATGTGACCTGGGCAAGTCACTTCATCCCCATTGCCTCAAAAAAAAAAAAAAGATGAAGGGGACAAATTGTAATTTTAGAGACATAGTTAGGGGAAGTTAGGTGGCACAGTGGATAAAGCACCAGCCCTGGAGTCAGGAGGACCTGAGTTCGAATGTGACCTCAGACATATAGCACTCACTAACTGTGTGACTCTGGGCAAGTCACTTAACCCCAATTGCCTCACCAAAAAAAAAAAACCAACAACAACTACCTGGAGACATGGTTAATATTGGCAAATACTTCTTCTTCATTGCTGCTCTGTCTGGTATAATTTATAACTTACAAAGTTGTCCTCTGCATCTCATGATGGTTGCTGAACTGGAAAAGAGCCTCAGAGCTCTGCTATATTGCAAAGGACACTAGACAGCAAGGCTCTTAGCATCATAGAATATTTTTTTTTAGCTGAACCATATCTTTCGCCTAATCTTATAGATGAAGGAACTGAGCTTGAAAGTCAATAATTTACCCAGTTATGCCACTCGTTGGATAACTGAAGCTAGAACTTAAATTTCCCTACTTTGAGGCACTGAGTGTTTGCTTGGGTTTTTTTCCCCCAAAGCCACTTGAAGACCTGAGTTAAGATATAACCAGGCTTCCAAATTTTTCTCAGCACAAATCTTTTACTTACACAGGCATTCCTACTCTAGTCTCTCTCTTTATTATTAACTACAAGGAGACTGGTTTGTCAGGTGAAGGTACATTCATAACTGCTTGTTTACTTTATTGTTGTTACTGGAATGACACTATCCCTCTTGTTTCCCCTTATTCCTAGAGCATTTGGGCTGGCGTCCTCAGTGCCTCTCCTAGCACCTTCTCCTTCAGTCTATTTAAGACTGTCCTTAGGAGGCAGCAGTGAGAGCTGTATCAAAGGTTTTTCTTTCTGTTACAACCCTTTCTGTTTACTTTTACCAAAGATTTTTGTGTGGTTCGCTTTTCTTTTCCTACTAACAGGAGTATGGAGATGTTGGGAGCAGCCTATTTTTATTGTTAATTTATCATGCATGGTTTTCACTTCAGAATTTGATTGAGGAATGCTATGATTGTGTAGCCCCTTCCTTCATATTTCTTTAACTGATTTATCCTATGCTACAAAGCACAAGACAACAGGCACATAGGGATAGAAGGATTTTTTTAATTGGAGAGACTGACTGCCCCATAGAACTCTATGTCTTGCTGCTCCTCTCACATTAATGTAAAGGATCCCTCATAACATCCTAAATCCCTGGGGCCTCATTTCTATCAGGAGTATTCCCTAAGCCATCTAACCTCCTGTATTCATCTCCTGCATTGACTTTCCTGGACTCACCTCCATCAAAGGATGATGAGAGACCATCAAAGGATAAGCCTTGGGGCAGGAAAGAGAGAATTTTTTTTCCCTTTTGTGTAGGCAGTCTGCTTGACTGTTATAGTACCTGAGTTTTCTGTATAACAATTCCTGTTCTTATTAGGAGGAAAATAAAAGATAATTACAGTGTTACACAGAACCTAAGGCAAGTGGCATGGCCATCAAATTATTCGTCAGTGTTAAAGTCAGAAATGAATCAATTCCAAGTCTCTTCACTTTATCAAATTAGAGACCTCATTATTTATGCAGAGTCTCTGTGTGTAAAGTGAGGAAAATTTATCTTTGTTTTAACGGTGAGGACCAAAATGGTAGGTTCAGGCATCTTCTTTTTTAACCGAATCAGGTCTTATATCTGTCCTTCAGACATTTCTCCTGGGCATTTTGCCTAGAGGTGGGCAAAAGGAGAATTTTCAAGGGGACTTTAATATTTCTATGATGTCACTTCCCCCAAAGCCAAAATCCTCACCTGTCACCATTGCTTGTGAACTGAGAAGCATGATTCACCAATAAATGTATGACCCTGATTAAAGGCCCTTTGGGCTGTGAATGATATGAAACTTTCTGGCTGTGGCGACCAGCAGGCTTGCTATTTAGATTAGCAGCTAAAGCAGGGGTTCTTAACCTTTTTGACTTCAGGGACCCCCTTAGCAGTATGGTAAAACCTTTGGACCTTTTCTCACAATCTTTTTAAATGCACGTAAAATAAAGAATGACAAAGAAAATGTTATATTGAAATATAATTATCAAAATATTGAAAAAAAAGGTTCATGGACTATAGGTTAAGAACCCTTGATCTCAAGTATCACATGAAACATCAGCTGTTTCACTAAACTTGATAGTAATGACCTTGGTTGTTTTCAAAAGGCAGCTTTACAATTGCAATCGTCTCTCTGAAAAACTAAGCATCTTTCTGGTTTTCTAGACCACCATTCCAGATAAAAATGCATGTTTTGCAGTTGCAAAACTCTGAATGGTGTACAGCTAATCTATTGCTTTCAGCTTTAATGTTTTATTTGTTTTTTCTTCCCCTTCCTCTCTTAACAGAACTTGGGAAACTGTGAAACGTACTACTAGGAAAGAAGGACTTTCTGCTGATGGTATGAGTACAAATCTCTGTCTAATCTCTATCCTCAGTCTCTCTTAGTGCTCCTCTCTTCCCTTCTGTCCACAGTGTGAATACCCCCTAGCCTATCCTTGACTTGCTTCTCTTTTTTTCTGCCTGCATCCTGTCTTTTACCAGTCTTATATATTTCTGTGACTGTAGTCATCACTTCTATGTATAGAATTCCCAAATCTACGTCTGTAGCTCCATTCTGTTCCCACATGTCCAGCTGTATGTCCTTTGGATGGCTCAAACTGTGTCCAAAATGGAACTTGATCTTCCCTCCAAAACTTGTTCTTCCTTCTAACTACACCATTTCTGGTGATGACACCACCTTTTCTCAATTAGTGTCCTTGATTTCATTTTTACTTAAAATAAGGACATCATGGAAAAGCCAACGGAACAATTGATAATCGAGTAAAACTGAGCAAACAATTGCAAAAAAAGAAGCCAATACATTGAACAGATACTAAGGTGGAAAATAAATTTGTCTTGAAATTCCTCGGGAAAGGAAGATTCTCCAATGTGTTATCCTAGATGCCCTTGAACTGTAAAGGAAATGCCACAAGAGTGGCTCAGAAGATCAATAAAAGAATTAAAAGAAAATGGGGCAGCTAGGTGGAGCAGTTGGATAGAGCACCAGCCCTGGAGTCAGGAGGACCTGCATTCAAATGTGGCCTCAGACACGTGATACTCACTAGCTGTCTGACTCTGGGCAAGTCACTTAACCTCAATTGCCTCACATGAAAAAAAAAAAGAATTAAAAGAAGATATAAAGCAAAAAATTTGAACTATTTTAAATGTTAATAAGAGAATAGAGAACTTAGAACACATAGTGGAAAAAGACTCTTTGAATGTAACAGATGAGTATGAAAAGGCAGAATTAGGAGAGGAATCAAGTGAACAGAATCAAAAGGCCGGCAAGACTGAAAGAAGATGACACAAGAGTTTTCCAAATCAAGGAAATTGAGTTGGAAAATGAACTAGCAAGATATTTTATGGGAATTCTATTTCTTTCAGAGAAACAGCCTAAATATTACATTTCAGGAAAATTGCATAGAAGTAATAGGAATAAAGGGCAAAATTCCAGTAGAATCCACAGAATACACAACATGAAATTCAGAGCTTAATTTAACAAGAAACATTATAGCTAAAATGCAGGACAAATTAAAAAACAAATATTGCAGTCAGCCAGAAGAAAACATTCATTAATTAAATTGAAATGGTGTTGGGACTGCTCCTAGATAAGGAAAAATAAAAGGAAAGTATGTAATTATTCTATAAAATAAATTAACAGGATGTGAGGGTTAACATGAACATAGTGAAAACATTTATTGGCAGAAGATTCAACGGGGTCAAAAGACTCAAGAAGAGGAGGAAAAACTGAATTAACAGTTCTTATGTTAAAAGCCACTCTACTGGGCTAAGACGCTGTTTTTTGAACATGGGATGTATGAAGAAGGAGGAAAGACATGTCAAGTAGTAGATGTATGATAGCTGTACTGGAAAGTTGTACACTTTGGAGTACTCAGCCAATGAGGAAACAGATGAGGGACTTTGTGGACTTTGTGGCTGGGATTAGAGATAAATAGTGAACGCCTGTTATGGTGCAATGTGTCCTAGTCCATAGGACACCTGCAGTTGCATTTATGTAATGAACTGGCCTTTTAACTTTAAAAAAACTTTTTTTAAAAAACTTTTTAAAAATAAAAAAAAAATTGCTCTACTAAACTTCTTTTGAGACACACATAGGCCTGGTGCCTAAACAAAGCAAGACTACTTATTTAATCAGTTTTACAAATTAATGTTGACACAAAAATTGTATGTAACATATTTCATAGGCATTTGTCCTTTTTGTTTCCTGGTGGTAGGTGTGGCAATTATCCCAGTGTTACAAAGAACTCTTCATTATGAATGCATTGTCCTGGTGAAGCAGTTCAGACCCCCCATGGGAGGCTACTGCTTAGAGTTCCCTGCAGGTGAGTAACAAAAGAAAAGGATTAAGAACTAATTAGCTAATTATAAGAGAAACCCCTTTGTTGGCCTCATTGTGGCATAAGCAGAATATTTCTGTGTCCAGGCAAGTGGGAAGCAGAACCACACTGCCACCTGCAGGAAGGTACTTGAGTGCCTCCAGCCCACCATCAAGGTAAGGCATGTGATTCCTTCCTGCCTTCCAGGTAATCTTCACAACCTCCTCACTTAATACATCCTTTCTGCCCTGTTACTGTTCTCCTTCACCATGTTTTTCTTTTTTCCTTATCAGAAACATGTTTTATATCTTTCCAGATTATTCATTGCAAGTTCTTGAATATCAGGGAGAAAAAAAGATACTTCAGGGCCACCAATTTCTTGTAGAAAATTGGCATAATTGGCTTGAATTAAAGCTTTTCATTTTAGCTTGTTTAATAAATTATTTTAACATACTTTATTCTCTTATTATTATACATATTATTACAGTATTTCATTATATTATATATAATACATATTATATTATATTATACTATTAAAGCTACTAAAGAGCTTTAATTTTTTATCTCACTTTTCATTTGGGGAAGAGTTTTTATTAACTTTTACAAAATAGTAATTTGTGGTTTGTTTCTTTGTCCTCTTCTTTTTATTCTATTATATCCCATCAGATTTTGTTCCTGTTTTCTTTGTCTATAATTATTTGTATTCTAAAATCTCTTTTCCCCTCTGTATCACTCCATTTAGGACTTTCCATATTCTTTTGCATCCATAGTTGTTATTTCTTTTGATGTATTAATAACATCTCAGTTTATACAACTGTTCCCATTTATTGAACAGATGAGTTGTTTCCAGTTTATTATATGGCCCCAAATATTTGTAGTTGCTTTAATAATAACATCTTGCTGTTTGGTCTTTTTGTTTCCCCATTCGATAATATTCATCAGCTGTGGTTCTAATAGTGCGATTCCTGGGTCAAAAGGAATGATCAGTTGTTTGATTGTTTGTTTGGTTTTTTTTAACTCTTATTTATGTTGCCAAATTGTTTTCCAGAAGGTCAGTTCAAAACTCCACCAGAAGTGTGTGTTATTGTGCCTGTTTCCCCACAAACAATTACTCTTTTTGCCAACCTAGAAGTCTGTAAGGAGGTGATACCTTAAACTTTTAATTTGTATTTCTCTGATTAGAAAGTGAACAGTTCTTCAGGGTATTGACAACTTATGTTTCTTCTTTTGAAAACTGCTTGTTTTTGTGTCTTGATTATTCATAGGAAGAATACACATTGGTTTTTGTTTTTATTTTTTCATTTTGTTTGTTTCCCCAGCACCTAGAATAGTGTCTTCCACTTAACAAAACCTTATTGAACTGAATCATACTTCAGAAATTGGGAACATCAAAGATCAACTGAACATGATTCCTCCTTTTACTTTCTATAGTCCCCATTTTCTTCTGTTTGGGGCAGATTTTTTTCATGCTTCAAGTCAGTATGAGTGACGAGGATATAAATTCAAGCTTTGTTCATCCTCTAATTCCTACTCAGTCCCAGATATCTCCTGATGCTTTTATTCTAAATCCAGCTCACTTCCTTCACATCCCACAGTAATCCCCTTATGTCTACCAACCCTCAGCTCACTGTCTCTCTTCTCCCTCACAGGTGGCAGCCATATTGGCTCTTCCATAGGATCCCTCACCATATCCCTGTGAGGGAGAAAGGCAGGACAGGTAGTGCAGTCTCTGTTTTGCAGATGAGGAAACAGTTCACAGCATAGCTGTGTTTAAGGTAAAATAGTTAGTGGCAGAACCAAGAGTTGGAATCCACATCTCTTAACCACCAGCTAATTGACCTTGCCAGTAGGCTTTGCTGACTCATGTGGTATATTACCATTCAGGAGAAATAGCAAACTCAAATACACAGATGACATGGCAGGTAAAACTTAGCCAAACTATACTTTTTTTCTTTACCTTTCTATCAAAGGACTAGACCTGAGCGAGTCTTGTGTAAAGACTATTTACCGAAAAATCCCCATACCAAGGGCTACATGGGAAGGAGCAGAGTCTGTCCTAGAGGCTGAAATTTTACATGAACGAACATTTGATTGACAGGTCTCATAGATGACAATGAAAGCCCAGAGACAGCCGCTCTTCGTGAGCTTGAGGAAGAAACTGGTTACAAAGGTGATGTTGCTGAATGTTCTCCAGGTTTGTATTGTTATCTCTGAAATGTTTGGGGATAGGTTTGTTTCATTTTGTTTTTTTAACCTAGTCAAAATCTAACTGTAAACTCTTGATATTTTTAAAAATAATTCAAATTATTTCAAGTAGAAAAACTCATTTTTAGAGAAATTCTCAGAACAAATTAGTCTTTTTCTCTCAATAAATGTTTAACTAGGAGGATGATACATAAGTATATCTAAACAAATAGGTGGCCATGGGAGTTGGGGAAGAGCTATGACACTGAGCAAACCAGACTTGAAAATTGGTTGTGACTTTTCCATTTCCTTTCACTATTCTGTCTGTGCAGTTTTTAATTTTACCTTCCTAGTGGCTCTTCACTGAGTCCTGCCAACATACTAAGCTTCCAAGAGTGGGATTTTCTTAGACTGTTGCTGTTTGTATTTGTTCCCTAGTGTGAAGATAGGATTGAGCCAGATAAACACAAGGATATTGTTGCCTTGTAGTTTCAGCCAGTCTTTCCCTTCTCGTCCTCATTTAAAGTTACCAACTCTGGGGGCAGCTAGGTGGCACAGTGGATAGAGCACCAGCCCTGGATTCAGGAGGACCTGAGTTGAAATCTGGCTTCAGACACATAACACTTACTAGCTGTGTGACCCTGGGCAGGTCACTTAACCCCATTGCCTAACCAAAAAAAAAAGTTTCCAACTCTACTGGAGCCAATTTTATACCCTAGCCATATGTTAGTGCAAGTTTCTGCAGCCACTTCACAGTCATACAAGCATGCACTATGAGTGTGCATATAAATACTGTGACAAATGTTTTGCCTGCTCACAGTGTTCACTGAAGTCCATCAGAAGACAATTTCTTTCATTTCACTATTAATTACATGGCAAGGAGTATTGCTGCTTACTATGGGCAAAGTAAGTGACTGTTTCCAGAGTTGCTTATAACACTAGCAGAAAATTGTTGTAAGGGTTCTATCCTGACTTTGGAATTTTAGGTGGGTGGAACACTTGGCTTTTCTATTCAAGGAAGAGGAAGAGAATGCTGTAGTAACCCATTGCTTCTTCTTCCTTAGCTGTATGCATGGACCCAGGTTTGTCAAATTGTACCACACATATAGTGACTGTGATGATTAATGGAGATGATGCTGAAAACGTGAGACCCAAACCAAAGCTTGGTGAGCTGATATTTACTCTTCTTTAAAGGGGTGGGAAGGACAGTACTAAATTCTGAAATATGCCAGCTGCTTTCAGACTATTTAAAAGAATAACATCTTGCATAGATACTTTATTAGACTAGTGACAGCTCTCCTAAATCAACATATTTATTGTTTATGGTTGTTTAATTGTTGTCTGACCAACTTAACCTTTTGTATACGTTGAGTTTCGTAATATATACAAAATTTCTATCTAGAAGTCCAGTTTACAGGACCTTGGGGATTGCAGTCACAGGACATTGGGGATTACAAATACTTAGAAATGTTTTCCTAGTTTATTCACTTAACCTGATTTAGTTATGTGTGTTGTAAGATACTGGAGCAGTTTTTAAAAATCCCTGTAAGGATCTGCACTTCCATTTGCTTCAACAGTATTCTGACATTAGCATTCCCAGAGGAGGTTATGAAGTTCTTTGACCTGCAGTTCTCTTTCTAGAAAAAATTTTTTTTGTTCAATAACTAAATATTGCAGTCTCCTGTAGCTCACTACCTCAAGAGTACATATGGGGGCCACTAGGTGGCGCAGTGGATAAAGCTCCAGCGTTGGAGTTAGGAGGACCAGAGTTCAAATGTGGCCTCAGACACTTGATAGTTAGAAGGTGTGTGACCCTGGGCAAGTCATTTAACCCCATTGCCTAGCCAAAAAAAAATCTGCCTCTCCCCCCCGCCAAAAAAAAGTACATATGTATTAACCATGCTGCAAGTTCACGTTTATAACTAGTACTTGATCTTTCAGCCTCTCTAATTCACTCACAGTAACCACATTTCAGGGACCACCATCTTGACTAACATATTAATGCTTATTTAACTGTTTTTGTAAAGGCATGTCTCAGAAAACACTTTGTAAGTTATTTAGGAACATATGATGTGAGATACCATCATAGATACACAGAGGCCCTTGTTAAATTTCCACCTTTTTCACATTCTTCTGCCAAATCATCTTGCAGTGTGTTATTGCTATAGTTTTTACTAAACACTTTTAATCTTATGGTTTTGGGTTTTGTTTTGGTTTTGTTTTTCAGGAGATGGAGGTATGTTTATTTACCAGTGACTGCTTTGTGGCTAAGTATAATCATTTTATTACAGATATTCTAGTTGGCTAACAGGCATAATTGTTGCTGTTATCTTTTGACATTATTTTTTGTGTGTTTTTTTTTAAAGAATTTGTGGAAGTAGTTTCTTTACCAAAGAATGATCTACTGAAGAGAATTGATGGTAAGAGTCTTACTTCCACCTAACTGTTATCCCTAGATTCTACTCCCTCAGACCTTTCTGTTCCTCCTCTCTCACACCTGGGTCTACTGAGCATAATTCTCAAAACTCCTTTGTATAGCTTCCTTCAAGTCAAATATCTAGAAAATTAATAATTACACATAACCAACATTTCTTGTTTTCTTTTACATGTTTTTAGAAACCTTTGGAAACAGTGCTATAATTAACTATATATCGTTTTTCTTAAAAACAAAAAAACTTCAGCCTGAATTCCCATTGACAGAGACACTCCACATTGTGCACATGTGGATTTTTTTTGTCAACCATATTGGAAGGGACTGTGTTCCCACCTCCATTCCCAAATGCGTGGATGGACAGTCTTGGTGCTCTAGCAGCAAAAGACAGAAATTCCTCACTTAGATATGCCACCTTGCTTTTTGGTCCATTCAGAATTATTCAACTCAACAAACATTATTAAGGTTCCTACTATATGCAAAGCACCAAGGACACAGAAACAAAAATGAAGCAGGTTGTCACCTCCAAGACCCTGCATGCCTTGGCATGTACATGGATAAATAAATGCAAAGTTATTTGAGAGGGAATTAAGTGGTAACATGGGGAAAGAGTGATCAGAGATCAGGAAGGACTTCACTTAGGAGATGGCATCTAAGCTAGGTCCTAGCAGGGGAGTTAGCCTGATGGGAGATGGGGAAGAGCAAGGCTTGGCCCATTTGACTGGAACATAGCGTATATGATGGGAAATAACAATGAAATGAGTCTGGAAAGGTAGAGAGGAGCCAGATTGGGAGGGCTTCTAAATTCTAGGCTATAGAGTATGCATGTTAGTAAGCCACTAACACTTTTTGAGAGGATGGTAATGAGGACAATCCTGTGTCTTTTTAATTTGGCATCTATATAGATGAAGAAATTGAAAGAGAAGAAACTAAAAGCAGGAAAACCAACTAACTAGTGGCTCTAGCAGTAAGTCCAAGGGGGAGGTGACAAGGGCCTGAGGTAGAGTGATGGTCATGTCAATCCCAGCAGTATCTGAGGTCTATCTAACATGCCAGGATCTATACAGTAATTGTAATGGAACTCATTTATAGGGGATATAGCTTTTTTTAAAAAAAAGTTTCATATTTTAACAAAGGCAAGGGAAACACTTACCATCAGACTTGATTTATCCTATTACCTTTGAAGAACCTGTATTCTTCCGACCCTTGATTGTGCAGTCACATAAATGCCCTCTGTGCTTAATATTCTCTTTTCTATAGTTTTGGAAATGATAATATCATGGGGTAGGACAGTTGTCTTTCTATATTCTCACTAGTTTTGTTTGCCTCCTATAGACCTGGTAGCTGATGAACATCTCAAGGTGGATGCCAGAGTCTATTCTTATGCTTTGGCACTGAAACACGCCAATGCAAAACCCTTTGAAGTGCCATTCCTGAAATTCTGAAACTGACCAAGACTCACCTCTATGTTTTTATAAACGAGGCCAATCTTTCACAGTTTGGACTTTGTATTCACATAGTTAATGTAGGTTTTGAATTAGCTTTTTCATAAAATAAAGGCAACATAGAATGCACATGGCGTTGATGGAATTGTATTATCAGTGAAGTGTAACCTAATGTTTTGAACTCTATATTAGTCCAACTTTGAATTATTCAATAAGGAGTACACAAATACAAAAATCTAAAAGTCATTTATAGTCAACTAGTTTTGAATAAAACCTCTCCATTGTCATGTCTAAATCCACTTATGCTTATAGTTGTAAAAACACTACATGGGAAAAAAATTTACTGTGGGAATACAGAGCCTGTAGGGAAGTTTCCACATGAAAATAGACCTTCTCAACTTCAGAATGAGAAAAGTTATTTCCCTCCTGCCCCCCTCCCCCAATTTTTCCAGTCCAAGAAACTAAGTTCTCAGTAAACGTAATTGAATCTTAAAGTTTAGTATAAGTTTAAAGCTAGTTATAAAAGTTCTTTTTTAAATTGGTGTTTGGAATACTGTCTCCATTTACCAGACTACTTGATTACCCACCTACTCTATTCCCTCTATAGGCAGATAAATTTTCTACATTTAGATTCTGGAAAGCAGAATATCTGACACTATTCAATCCTGGCCCTCTTTTAATTCAGCCTTACTGCTGGCAACTTGTTGTTTGTCCTTAGTTCTCGAAGAGGACCAGTGACATCACCAAGGGTGATGTCTTGACTTGAGCTAGAATTGGATTTAAGTGAGGCAGAGCTGCTCGAGGTCATCAGCCTCACTTTCTCCTCCAAAGTCATCGAAGTCCAAGTGGCAAGACAAAGTCAAGATGACTGGCAATGGCTGGGATGCAGTAGGTGACCTTCACCTTTCTAAATTAAGGTCTTTCCCAGGTCTCGGTTTGTCTGAGACCACACCCATTCAATGACTAAAGGCTAGGTAAGAATTGAGACAAAACATAGCCTAATTGATCATCACAAAAATATCAGTCTGGGAGGGGAAGACCCTCAAAGTGTCTGGCCAGAAGAGAAAACAGTTGCTATTTACACATATTATAAGCCATCAAAACCCAAATAATAAGCCACAGAAGCTTGGGCTGGCAGTGACAGCCAAATAGTAACATGAAAAATAATTAGGCTTCAAAATCCAAGATGTCGAATTCCTAATCCTTCACTCCCACCCATTGATGTATTCTGCCTCTTTTTATAAAGAACTATCAACTACGTATATAAGCTGTGACCAAGAACAGGTTTAATTAACCAGGGGAGCCTGCCTTCCCACAATAATTAGCAACTTGAACGGAAAAGAATTCAGATAACTTTCTTCAGGAAGCAGCAGTATTGTTTTCATTTGATGAGCCTGTCATATAGCTACCAGACTGTAGCAAAAAGTGACTGCACTACACCCTGGTATCCAATTGGCTCCTTTCGGTGCCTTTCCCTCTATGTAAACACTGCTTATTTTGTCAGCATGAATAACTTGTATGACAGCTCTATTTTTAGTCCCTACACTAATTGCCATATTAGCCATTGTTTAGGAAGACAGATTTCACCCACCCACCCTCTCCGTCTTCTGAAGAACATTAGTCTTTTAGCACATTTGATGGGTCCTTCTCCCATACCCATATCATATTTTCACAGTCTTTTAGAGCATTAGGAGACTTGCCTTGAAAACAGATTTGATAGATTTGCAGTGAATACTTTACCTGTGTCATTAAATGATGATGAAACAGTTGGAGGTATTCCAATCAAGTGCTGATAGTGCTCCCTCCGACAAAACTATCTCCCAGGGGCGGCAAGGTGGCGCAGTGGATAGAGCTCCGACCTTGGAGTCAGGGGGACCTGAGTTCAAATCCAGCCTCAAACACTTTACACTTGCTAGCTGTGTGACCCTGGGCAAGTCACTCAACCCCAATTGCCTCACCAAAAAATAAAACGAGATCCCAACCTGCTGTTTTGAGGCAGCTAGGTGGCACAGTGGATAAAGCTCCAGCCCTGGAGTCAGGAGGACCTGAGTTCAAATCTGGCCTCAGACACATAACACTTACTAGCTGTGTGACCCTGGGCAAGTCACTTAACCCCACTGCCTCACCAAAACAAACAAAATTATCTCCCAAATCAAAATGTGAGCAAGCACCTATTACCTGATCAAAACTTCATGTTCCCCCTCTCTCTTCTATTCTGCCTGTCTTCTCAGGACTTCAAAGAGATTATTGGATGATACACCAAAGTTGTGTCCCTAGGGCACAAGTAGATTCAAGGAGTTCTTTCCTTTGGCCTCAACTAAGGACAACCTTAGGAAGATCCCCATTTCCAAAGCATCTTTTTAAGAAGATCAGTTAGAGGTATTGTAACAGGCTGGCAACTCGGAATCCAATTGGACATCACATAATCTATTTTCTGATAATGAAAAAGTCACCATTTAACTTTTTCTCCCTGCTCTAACCATCAAATAGTTTCAATTATTTCTGGTTTGATGACAAACCAGCATTAGATAGAATTAAAGATGGCCAGTTCTATTGAACTTTGAGATTAATAAGTGGAAATGTGCTTTCTTTTTTAAGATGTATATCCTGATTCTAGAATTTGGCTTCTTATACTGGCTTAGATAAATGACACTATGACTAGGGAAAGGCAATTAAAACAATACCCTTTGGAATGGTTATTACCAAGAATCAATCCTAGGTGAAATGATGTATAACTGACACTTTTTATGGACATTTATTTAGTAAGAATTTATTAAGCTATGTGTTAAACACTGGGAATAACAAAAGAAATGAACAATCCCTGCTGTCAAGGAACTTCCAGTCCAAGACAGGCGAATGCAGCAGATGAATACAATGGCATGGGAAGGGAGGGAAGCAAAGGAAATAAATCAGGTGCCTCAGAGCAATATGAGCAGGAATGAAACACTGCCATGGGAGGACTAGGAAAGGCTTCTCAGAGGAGAAGGCCCGGAAGAGCCCACATATGGTAGAAGAATGAGAGCACTTGTAGCTCCTGCCTTGTATGAGCCCTCTGTGATTCTTCTGCCCAGCCCATCCTATGGTTTATCTATTTCACAGCCAAGGCTCTGCTTAAATGCTGGTGGTGTTGGCTATCCAGAGATGATACTTTGTTAGTATTAGCAAAAGCAACAGAAAGAGCAACAGCTTGTCTTGAATTCTCAAAAGCTGCTCTCTTACCTTTATTGAGACTCCTAAGCAGAGAACCTGCCCCTCCTTTATATATGATAAAGTTCTTTTATCTCTAATGTTCTCTGACTTCACTTTAATTGCTGACTCCACAGGAAAAAAGAAAAGCTGCTAAGTGGCAACCATTGCTGCACCAATTTTGCTTTGGCAATGGAACAACCAAGTGGTCACCATCCTCTGCCCCGCCCCCAGCAATCTGCTTAAGCTAAACAGAGGCAGGTCATAGCATTGAGCTAGAAGAAAAATAGCGTTCATCTAGTTCAGCTACTTGTATAATGAAAAGGGAGCCCGACCTGTATGTTTGATATTTCTGTGTGGCCATCCCATTGTTCTTCCAGTCTACTATCAAAAATAGAACTCTATTCTTCAACACATACCGAAGTTAATCAGCACCTCTTAATTTCCCCATTCTACCAATCTCCTCAGTCTCTTCCCCTCACATCTGATCAGTTGCTAAACCTTGTCCATTCTCTTTAATCCATTCCTTCCTATTGCTACCACCTCAGTTCATGCTCTCATTATCTCCCTCGTGGTTTAATGCAATTATTTCTCCACTCATTCTCCCTTCTCTGTTTTACATACCACCAGCAGATGAACCTTCCTGAAGATTCATCTTTCTCTACTCAAAAAACTAATAGGAAATTGCTTTGAATATAGTCTAAAATGATTTTTAAAATCCTCTATGATGTTCATCTTTTCAGTATTATCTCTCACAACTCCCTTACTTATAACTTCTATTCCGAATTGTACTACCATTTTCCTAAAAAGATCATGAAACCATGCAGAATGGTATACCACAAATATATATTGCATAATCTCAAATGATCTCTCACTGTACTTCAAGGCAATCCTTTTACACCTCCACGATTAATTCACTACTTCACTAACCACAGCAACCTCTAAACCTTTTCATCTCTCAAACTTTACATGGCTGACCCTCACCCTACCGTCTTACTGAAAACTTTACCTCATATTTTAGTGAAAAAAATGAGGCCATTCACCAAGAACTCCCTGTTCTCCCTTTGTGACATCACATCACACTTTTACCACTACCTCCTCCTCCCCCCGCTGGCTCATGTGAAGAAGTGGCCCTTCTTACCAAGGCATACCCTCTGCATGAACAATTGATCTCATTCAATCCCATCTTCTCCAGCAGATTGCCCCATCCATCATCCCCACTTAACTTCAATCTCTCCCTATCTACTGGCTGTTTCCTTACTAGCAAACATGTCCATATCTCCCCATCTTCAAAAAACCAACACTTGATCATCCTCTCCCCTAGCATCCCATATCTCGCCTCCTTTTTGTGGCTAACCTTAACAACAGGTACTTCCATTTCTTTCATCTTTTTTTTTTAACTCTCTACAGTCAGGTTTCTGACCTCATTATCCATGGAAATTGCTCTCTCCAAAGTTATAGTGATCTCTTAATTGCCAGATCTAATGGCCTTTTTCCAATTCTCCATCCCTCTTGACATTTTTGCAGCCTTTGACACTGTTGATGACTCTCTTCTCTCTAGCATTCTGTGACTCTACTCTCTCCTGGTTCTCCTCCTAGCTATCTGACCTCTTATCCCTCTCATTTACTGGGTTTTCATCCAGGTCACACCCGCTGACTGTGGGTGGCCTGCAGAATTCTATTCTGGACCCTTTTTTCCTTTTATGCTATTTCTCTTGGCAATCTCATTCAGCTCCCATGGATTCAATTTCATTTCTTTGCAGGTGATTCTCAGGTCTACTTATCCAGTCTTAAACGTCTTCCCTCACTTCTGGACTCACATCTCCAACTGCCTATTAGACATCTGAAACCAGGTGTCCTATAGCCATCTTAAATTCAACATGTACAAAACTAAACTCGTCTTTCCCCCCGAAATTCTTCCTGCTTCCTAATTTTGCTATTACTGTCTACCATCCTCTTTCCAGTTACCTAGGCTCTAACCCTAGATACCGTCTTTGACTCCTCACTCTCACCCACCATATCTAACCTGTTGTCAAATCCTATTGTTTTCTTTCATCTCACATATATCCCTTTCTCATCTGATGCTGCTACCACCCTGGTTCAGGCCCTCATTACCTCTGCCTGGACTACTGAAATAACCTGTTGCCTCCCTGTCTCAAGTGTCTCCTCACTCACAGTTCATCCACTAAGCTGTCAAATTAGTTTTCATAAAGTATAGATCTGATCACATCACTCCCCTACTTAATAAATTCCAGTGACTCCCTATCACTTCCAGGATCAAATATAAAATCTTTTGTTTGATATCTGAACCCCCTCCTCCTTTCTAATCTTCTTACACTTTACTCCCTGCCATATACTCTTTGATCCAGTGACACTAGCCTTGCTGTTTTTTGTACAAGACACTCGTCTCTGAACTCTGGGCATTTTCACTGGCTGTTCCCCACATCTGGAATACTTTCCTTTCACATTTCTACCTCCTGGCTTCTCTGGTTTCCTTCAAGTATCAGCTAAAATTATCTTTTACTAGAATCCTTTCCTGATCCTTCTTCATGTTTGTGCCTTACCTCTATGGACTATCTTCAGTTTACTCTGTACATATCTTGTTTACATATGGTAGTTTTCATTTGCTCTCCCCCATGAGAGTGTAAGCTCCTTGACAACAAGGAACTCTTTTGCCTTTCTTTGTATCCCCAACATTTAGTACAGTGCCTGGCATGTAATATGCACTTCATACATGCATATTGACTATTGAATGACTGACTATGCTTGTCCACTTCCATATTGTTCCTCTTAAGGTGCTCTCTTCCCCATCACTTCCTATTGAAACCTTACCCATCTCTTTTTGTAACCTTTTAAAGCCTCCCCAGGATCATCTAAAAGTGATCTCTCTCACCTTCAAATTCTCATTGCACTTTGTGCTTCTCACTTAATATTTCTCACATACTCGCTTTCTGATTGGGTTATCTGTGCATGCTTCATTTGTTCCACTGCATCACAAGATCCTTGATTGTGGGAACTGTCTTATTCAACCTTTGCATCCTACTTGGCCCCTAACACAATGCTGTACAAATGGTAGGCAACCAGTAAATGTATCAGTCATAGAATTTTGTAGTGTTTAATTCCCTACTCGATGTATAATACCATCCTGTATATGTGGGGAGTGGGGAGAGGTAATATATAAGAAACAGAACGGTTTTTTTTTCAAGATGCTTCCAGTCTATAATTGAGGAAACATGAAAAACATCCAGAATTTTGAAATAATGTTAGATAGAGCTGGAAGGGAGCTGAGGCTATTTGCATCAATACCCTTGTTTTGTAGTTGAGGAAACAAAGTCTGAGAGAACTTCTGAGGTGTATCAGGAGGAAGAGGAATCAATAGGAAAGCCAACACCACAGCTCAGGACTTCTGACTCCCAAGCTAGTGCTCTTCCTACCATTGGGGTAACTTGGGGTAACTGTATCCATTGATAACAGGCTGGGAGGTCTCCCTGGGTGCTAAGAGACCTTCTAAGAAGGACATCCATAACTGATACTTCTGGTTCCTGTGGCTAATACAAAAAGTACCTGAAAATCAATTTTTGTAGACAAATTCAATTTGTAAGGAGTAGGATTCAGAGAGACACTTTGGGACAGAAGATATTTGGGGTAATAAAAGAGACATGGGACACAGGGTGGTGCTCAGGTGTCCTCCATCAGAAGAGGGAGCAGGGCTTGGCTAGGTTGGAGAAAAACTCACCTGGAATGTAGAAATGTGTCAGGATCCCTTCTTGGCATTCTTGTGCTGGTCTTCACTTAATGCACCATGGATGGCTTCAGTGTAAGCCCCTGACTTGGACCAATATTAGACTCCTTGACCTGTGAAGGTAGAGCAGATAGGTAACCAACATTTCTTCTAATCCCATGAGATTACTACACAAAGGTGTAATATGAGTACCCAGACCCAAGGGATAAGTCCCAGTACACTGAGGATGGCCCATGTCATCAGGTGCAGATGTGCTGAGGCAGGAAGAGTGTGTTACCCAAAGAGTCCAGATTATGCCATTATGATAAGTCATAAACTTCACCCCACCCCATCCCCTAAAAGTAAGTGAAGAAAGAAGTAGGTGGCAGGTAGCGAGGACAGAAATAGGGGAAGTAGGTGGTAGTCTTCTCCAGTGATGCTAGGGTCTGGTTGAAGCAATGGGTAGATCAATAGGTCCAAAAAGGGGACATGATAGCAACAGAAGCTTTAGGGATAGCAAAAAGGAGAATAACTCAGCAGCATATATATATAACTGACTTGTAGTCCACAGTTCAATGACACCACCAGGCCAACAGATAATAGCTTTATGGGGAAAGTGGTAATAGTATTAGTTGTAGAAGGGTAGTCCAGTGGGAACACCACCACAAGAATTTGAGTTGCACTGGACACAAGTTCCCTAGGCCCATATGTTCTTAGGCTACATGTATTTTCCTGTGTGTATTCTCTCTTCTATTGGTGATTTTGTGGGATTTGGTGTAGGAAAATGTGCCTCTGTGGTTGGAAGAATTTTTTACTTATTTTACTATGATGGTGACTTTTTTTTAAATTTTGAACTAATAAAATACCCTCTGGTAGGGTCAGTTTTGGGTTTGGTTTTTAAAGTCAATGGCATGGGCTTGTGAGCTGTGGTTTTAAATGAATATTGACCCAAAGCCTACTTTGAACCTGGGGTAGCTTTTGGGGTGAGGGTGGGGGGTAGGGAGGGAGATTGAATGAGGCCTGGGTTACATTTTGATTTAGGATAAGAAAATGTCTTCCATATGTCATCATGCCCCTGACAGGCAGTACAAATTACTCTGTTAATTTCACTTAACAGAACTGATAGAATCAGGTGTCATTTATCTAACTTTCCTGCCAGCAATATTCAGCAAATATTCAGCAAAGGCATGGCATTGTAATAATAGTGTTGGTGATGCCAAAGCTCAAAATAAACTGAGGCTGCCAAGAAAGTTAAGAACAACCAAAAATGTTGGAGAGAGTGGTTAGCTATATTAGAGAAAACAGGAAAATAAAGGGAAGTTTAAGTGCATTCCTAAGGTTGATGCAAGGATGTGTTAGAATCAGCTTACCAGCTGGGGAGAGCTGATTGTTAAATCTTCAGCATTAACATTTGCCCTTTGGAAATCAGTAAATGCTATAAATCAGGGCTTGATTTATTGTTTTGTTGGTGGTCTAGACTTAAGAAAGTGAATGAGAAAATGTTAATAATTCAGAGTAAACTTAATAGTGTGTCTTGGCCTTTTGGAGACCAAATTGTTAAATATTTGCCAGCACACCTCTGGGTGGATGGAATAACAATAAGGGAAAACAAAGAGCAGGAAGTGCTTCTCCTATTTTGCTTCTGTTTTCTTGGACAGTGGAAAATACTCTCTGGATTGAAAAGGACAGAAAAAAATATGACAATAGGAAATTTACATCCAAAATAATTAAGAAGATAGAGTACCTAGCTGTCCTTGAGGTCAGGTCACTGAGCCCAAATGAGTGATATCCCAGAAGAGATGGCATATGTTACTGATGAACTAATGTCAATGATCTTTGAAAAACTGTGGACAATGGAAAAAAGGAGAGAATGAAGGCTGAAAACTGAGATCAATGAGCTTGACTCTGGCTTCTGAAAAAATTCTAAAACACATTATCAAAGGGATGGTTACTGAACATTTAGTTTAAAAAAAAAGCAATAACAAATAGCAAGAAATGATCAGGAAAAGTGAAAAAAAGGTTTCTTTTTTTGATAGGGTTATCAAATAGTTAGATCAAGGAAGTGCTGTTGATTTTATTCAGTTTATCTGCATTTGGTCAAAGTAAGGATGAGCTAAATGATTTACTCAACCCCAACCTACTTAAAACTAAGTAAAAAGATCCCCAACCAATTAATCTCACAGGCCTTAGATTGAGTATAGGAAAGTCCTCCAAACTATATTTACATTGTATAAGAATCATGTTTGGATAGACTGAAAAAAGCTTGGCCATTTTTTCTGTGTCATCTATAAATTCTCCAGCTAGTTAGAATCCCATGCATTTGAGAGGTTGGAGCAAAGGTAGGACCATCACAGGTTCTCCAGTGAACCTGGAGTAGTAACCTGAGGTGAGAGAAGTCCCAAGAAAAAGATCAGCTCTTTCTCTAACTTCCCCTCCCAGTTCCTGTCTATCGACAGACACCATTTTATATTCTGCTGTTTTGTTACCCAGATGTTGCTAGTATCCTCAATTTTGCTTCAACCACAAAGAAGCCAGGGGTTCACTAAACACAGATGTAAATTATAAGTTAGAGAGAATCCAACCTTTTTTTAAAATGTTAGGAATTTTCCTAACTAGGGGTTTGGAGTGATTGTGACTGAATTCATAACTTTTTGTCTAAAATACACTCCCTAAAACTTAAGAGGAAGGAATCACATGGACCTTACGGACTATTATATTGCCCCAGGCTAATTATTGTGACAAGGCATTACACAAATCTCTCTTACTATTCTGGTGGGAAAGAGGGAGAGGTGTCAACTAAAAGACAGTGCAATTATTTGTATTTGGAATTGATTGAATGACTAGACCCAAAGAATACTCCTTAATGGTTTAATGTCAACTTAGAAAGAAATCTCTTGTGTTGTGTCCAAGGGATCTGCATTTGGTGCTGTGTTATTTAACATTTTAAGTGATGACTTGGATGAAGGCATAGACGGTATACTAATCAAATTTACAGATAACCAAAACTAGGAAGAACTAAAATTGAATGACAGTATCAAAAAAAACCCCACAAAAACCCAAAAAACAAAAGAAAACAACATAAAAAAATCTTTATAACCTACAAAGTTGAGCTAGAACTATTAAGATGAAATGTAAAGTATTACACTTGGATTTAAAAATCATCTTTACAGCTGCAAGATGATGGAAGCATGGTTATGCAGCAATTTATCTGAAAAACTGTTGGGGAGTTTGAGTGGACTGCAAGTTCATCAGGAATCAGCCAACCATATGATATGAAGGCCCCAAAAGCTAAGGCAATCTGGTGCTACATTAAGACAGGCATAATGCTTAGGGATAGAAAAGTGATGGTCCTACTCTTCTCTGCCCTGGTTAGAATATATGTAGAGTACTCGGTTTACATAAGGGTACATTTTAGGAACCACTGATAAGCTAATTAGAGGCTAAAGGAGGGCAGACAGTATGGCGAAGGGTCTCAAGCATCAGTTGAAGGAACTGAGGTTACTTAGCATGGAGAAGAGGAGCCTTAAAAGAAACATATTAACTCATTTTCGAGTATTTGAAGGGCTGTCATATGAAAGAGGGATAAGACTAAGGTTCACCTTGGTCCTACAGTGCAGAACCAGGAACAGCAGATGAAAGTTACAAAAATCAAATTAAGGTTTGATATAAGGACAAATGTTCTAAATGCCCTGATAAAGCTAATCAAAAGTGGAATGGGCTACCTTAGGAGGTGTTGGGTTATTTATTGGTGACTACTTTTGGCAGAACTACAAAAGCCCCCCCAACAAGAGTTGGGGTGAGGGGGCAGCTAGGAGGTGCAACAGAAAGAGCTCTGGCCTTGGAGTGAGGGGGACCTGAGTTTGAATCCTGCCTCAGACACCTGTCACTTAACTAGCTGTGTAACCCTGAGCAAGTCACTTAACCCCAATTGCCTAAGCAAAAAAAAGAGAGAGAGAGAGAGAGAGTTGGAGTGACTCAGGGTAGTAGGCTCTGGGGACAAGTGCTTCTTCTCCAAACGATGCATTCATTCATCCCCATAGTGGCTGTATAAGGGAGCGTGCAATATAGGCCAGGGGAGGACCACAAAGGGTAGAGAACCACAGTAAGGAGGAAGCTTGCCTCCTACCCAGAAAGGCTCCCTTGGAGAAAGAAAGCAAGCTCCCTATCCTCTACCAGTCTCACACGGAGTCCACTTATAAGAGTGCGTTCTCAGTCCATCTGTGGTAACATTACTGCAACCTCTGGGACAAATTACTTGCATACACAACCAACATGGGATGCCTGGAATCAGCAAGACTGACCAACAGCCAGGTTATACGCACTGATTTTGGGTTATCCACATAGTTTCTGTTTCCTCCCAAACCTACCCTTCAAACGGATTTTCCCCCACTGCTGAAATTCCCACTTTGTCAATTATATTATGAAAGGGAAAAGGATTGGGCCAGATGGCCTCTGAGGTCTTTTCCAACTCTGAGACTTTGAAATTATGTGATTCCTGAAGAATCTCTTAAGTCTGAAACCAAAGAAGTGGTTAGATCAGCAAATCAGGGAAGCCAGAGGGGTAAGAGATAACCTAATGGTGCTTTCTTCACCTAAATCATGTGCCTTATTCCCTTCTATATTTCAACTCTCTTCCTACATAAGGAGGAAACATTTTCTACCTCTGAATCTCACTTCAGAAAGGAAAGTTCCCATGCTTTAAGACATAAGTCGCAGGGGAGGTGCTAACCTGTCTCAGTAGAAGGAGCTTTCTTACCTGGGCATTCCCTTATATCAATGAAATCACAGGTCTGTGCCTAACAATTTAAAAACAGATGAGGTTAAAGGAACCCAAATATTCTGGAAGCCAGTAGGACAAGACAACAAGCATTTGTTAAGTGCTTACCATATGCCAGGTACTATATAAAGGATTTTAAAACGGCCATAGATAATTTTCTAGGTGGATAATCCAGATTTCACTCATCTACTAAAATGAATGGATATAAAAACTCTGCCCTGCTTAAATGTCCTCAATATCATCAAAACACTACCCCTCATTCATTTAGTTCAACCATATGTGGCCAGTCATATATGTTTGATCACATATGTCCAAACTTAATGCTTTGGACTTCAAGTGCTAGGCTAACGGCCTTTATCCGTGATTCCAGATTCCAACAGTCACTAGCCCCAAGGCATACCTCTACTGCTTTGGCCTCCAGGAGTTGATAGGCAGCCATGATAACCATTTACATACACAACTCTAGCTTAAGGTCTCCATTCCAAAGACCAGAGTTTCCTGAAGCCTCTGTGGCCAAAACTCCTACCTCATCTCTTAAATATACAGAAACATTGCCTTAGCCCTCATCCTCACTGCCATGGGCTCTGTAGACATAACTCCCATCCAGGATACCTCTGTGACACAATAATGAATTTTAAAATATAAAAGATCCAAGCATAGACAGCATTTTCATGGACTCCATGTCTCACAATGCCTGGAGCCAAGGGAATCCAAATCATTGGGGAAATTTTTGTGGATTAAATTTCCCAGAACTCTGGGCTTGAGCACATAGAATAGTGGTATCCCCTGCATGGAATCTGAATAAAGAAGCTCTGAACTATGGGAGGTTCTAAAAGCTCTCAGAGTTTGGTCAAGTGGTAGAGATGGATATGGGAGCAGAACAAGAAGCAGCATATAGAAAAAGCATGTGGGATTGGACCCAGGAACAGCATCCTGAACTATGGCATCGTGTCTGAGTCATCATGATGACTACAAGAACCATGGTGGGAGGCTGCAATGTTTTTTTGAGGCCAAAACATCAGTGTTTTCTAGCATGTTGTGCTGAGACTGAAGAAGGGCTAAGGACAGTAGCCTCACACTCTTAAGTTTGAACATGAGTTTAATCTGTCTGTGTTCCTTTCTTTATGTTGGGGATATAGAGAGATTAAATGGAGAAAAGGGACTTGTATAAAGTGCCTACTATGTACCAGGCAATGTGCTGAGCACTCTACAGATAAGACCTACTTGAGATTAAATGGGAAATTGACTATAACAGCCCTGGAGGTACAGGAGAGTGAAGCCATTTATGTATGGATGCAGAGAATATTTACTGCCTTATTTACTTGTCATTTATCCCACTGTTTTGTTTTGATTAAACACTTTTTGCTTCTGGAATCATGTCATTTGGCATGGTCTGGCGGCAGGGAGATGTATTGGTGGGGGCTTCAGTCCTGATTCTGAATCCATGACAATCCAAAAAATATTGTGGATTGCAGCATAGCTCAAGGCATTCTACACAAGAGATAAAATTCCTTCAAAATGCTCATAATGCAAGAGATGCCAAAAGATAAAATAAATTGGATAATAATTAAAAAACTAAACTAAAATAAAAATGAGAGGTAGAATGTTGTAGTCCAGAGAGTCATCCTTCACATTAAAAAGATTTGGGTTTAAATCCTGCCTTAGACATAAACTTCTTGTGTAATCTTGTGTAAATCACTTATCTCTCAGTGCCCAAGGTGACTCTTTAAGACTATAAATTATAGACAAGTTAACAATCTGTATAAATGGCATTCCCAATACCCAATGATATTATAGGTCCAGACCAAAAAAAAAGAAAATACTAATCTTAAAAAAAAGTTTAAAAAAAAAATGAAGGGGCAGCTAGGTGGTGCAGTGGATAGAACACCAGCCCTGGAGTCAGGAGGACCTAAGTTCAAATCCAGCCTCAGACCAAACACATGATACTAGCTGTGTAACCCCATGGCAAGTCACTTAACCCCAACTACCAAAAAAAAAAAGATTTGGGAAAGTGTGTGCACATGTGCATCTGTGTACTTTTTCCCCTCTTCAAACCTGCCGCATCCTGTCAGCTGAGAACTTTGTTTCGCACATCACTGAAAAGATTGAGGCCATTTACCTTACTTTCTGCCCCTCATTCACTTATCTCCTGTATTCCTTCTCGCATGAAGAGGTGGTCCTTTTCCTTGTCAAGGAAAAATCCTTTTACCGTTCTCTTTCTTTCTTTGCGAGGCAATTGGGGTTAAGTGACTTGCACAGGGTCACACAGTAAGTGTCAAGTGTCTGGTCTGAAACTGGATTTGAACTCAGGTCCTCCTGACTCCAGGGCCGGGGCTCTATCCACTGCGCCACCTAGCTGCCTCCCAGCCCAACTTTTCTAGCAGATTGTTTCCTTTTTCATTTCTGCTGTCTCACTAAACTTCATTATCTTCCTCTACTAGCTGGCTCCCTCCCTACAAATATGTCCATAACTTCCCATCCCTAAAAGGTCTCTTGATTCAACCAATCCTCTTACCTATCATTCTATAGCCTTCCTTCAAGAAAACTCTTTATACTAGGTACCCTCCTCTCTTCTCCCTTCTAAACTTGCTGCAATCTGGTTTCCAATCTCATCATTCAATTTACCAAAGATCTTTAAATTGCCAAATTTAGTGGCCTTTTCCCAATCCTCATCCTTCTTGACCTGTCACCTTTAATGCTGTCATTAACTCCCCTTCTCCTAGATACACCCTCTAAGTTTTAATGACCCTGTTATGTCCATTACATCTCTGTCAGGAAGTGGGCAGCATACTTCATCACAAATTCTCTCTGGAATCATGTCTGGTTATTGCAATCACATTGATTGTAGTACATAAGTCTTTCAAAGTTGTTTGCCTTTAAAACCTTATTGCTATTGTATAAATTGTTTTTCTGGTTCTGCTCACTTCAACATCTATCAGTTTATACACGTCTTCCCAGGTTTCTCTGAAAACATCCTCTTCATTATTTCTTATAACACAACAGTATTCCATCACATTCATATATCCCTAACTGATGAACAGTCTCTCAGTTTCCAATTCTTTGCCACTGCAAAACAAAGCAGACATAAACAAACAAAATAGAAACTACTATCAATATTTCTGAACACACAGGCTTTTTCCCTCTTTCTTTGATCTCTTTGGGGTATAGACCTAATAGTGGAATCTGTTAGTTATTACAAGTTAGTAACCAATATCATTGTTCCAATCCCATGGCCCCTCCAACTGGGGTCATTTTCCTTTTTTTGTCTTCTTTGCCAATCTGATGGATGCAAGGTGGAACCTCAGAGTTGTTTTAATTCATGTTTCTCTATTAGTAATTTATCGAGTATTTCCTATAGCTTGAGTTAATAGCTTGGATTTCTTCCTCTGAAAATGCCCATTCATATATTTGACCACTTATCAATTAAAGAATAGCCCTTATTCTTACAGATTTGCATCAGTTTCCTATAAATCTTAGAAATGGAGCCTTTATCAAAGAAACTTGCTACAAAGACTTTTTTCCTGGGGCAGCTTGGTGGCGCATCAGAGAGAGCAGTGGCTCTAAAGTCGGGAGGACCAGAACTCAAAACCAGCCACATATACTTACTAGTTGTGTGACCCTGGATAAGTCACTTTCTTCCCCCCAGAAAAGATTTTTCCACTATTTGCCTGCTCCTCTTCTCATTTTAGCTCCATTGGTTTTGTTTGGGCAAAAACTTTTAAATTTTATTTAATCATCATGATCCATTTTACCTTCTATGATCCTTTCCATTTCTTGTTTGTTAATGAGCTCTTGACATCACCTTTATGTCAAAATCATATGCCTAGCTGGACCTTATTTTGATGTACTGTGTGAAATATTGATCTACACCTAGTTTCTCTGTTTTCCAGTTTTCTCAATAGTTTTTGTCAAATAGTAAGTTCTTACCTCAGTAGCTTGGTTCTTTGAATTTATCAAACACTAGGCTATTGTGCTCAATTACGTCTGTATGTTGTGTATCCAATCTGTTTCATGTGGTTGTCTGTAGTTTGCCAGTCTTCTAAGAACCGTTTGTTCACATTCTTATCATTGGGGAATGTAAATAATCAGCCTGAAAATTTAAGAATTGACTCTCACAGCTGGTACAAACTGATAGGAGCTGATTCCAGCACACCTTGAGTAGATGGATGAGACAGTGACAGAAGTAGAAGAGGCCCCTTTAGGAGGCTGGAAGCGACTCCTCAGGAGGCTTCAGCTAGGTGAACTAGGTGATGGCTTTGATGTGAGGGAAAAGTCAAAGATGACTCCAAGATGTTGAGCTCAGTGGAACACAGTGAATGGTGGGGCCACTGAAAGAAACAAGGCTTTTTTCTTTTTAGTTCCCACCTTGCCCTCACCCTTCATTTGCATGACAAACCCCAAAGCATCTTGGGGAGGGAATGTTGAGTGACACATAGTGTCTCAGACCCACAGAGTCTTTTATGGTTTTTGAGAAGTCAGCCCCAGAATTGAGAGGCATGCAATTTGGTGATTAATAAGTGATCAGTTAAATGGTATTTTCTAATCCTAAATCAGATAGGTCTGTATAGATTAGGGGATCAAAGATGTTTCTTGGTTGAAGAGATGAGAAGCCATCCAATCAAGTTGCTTTCCTTGGTGTTTTCTTAAAGCAACCTGACTCTTCTTGCCTGTTTTTCTTCCCTTTTATTCTCATCTAGAATAGCCTCCCTTCCCAGTTTCCTCCTCCTCCTCTCTTTTAAAGCTCAGCACATCTTATCCACGTTTCTTTCTGTAATGATATTCCAGATTTCTAAACTTCTGCAGAGTTTGCACTTTGTACTTGGAGTGATGCTGTATAGACACTTCTAGACAAGCCTGTCTATATCTCCCCTTCAGGGTCCTGGGAGTAACCCTGAACGGATGGGGAAATCTTTCTCTAATGCTATCAGCTCAAGCCCTGATCCTGGTATGCTCTCCCCAACGTTTGGGGCCATTAGCAGTTCCATTTAACCAATTATCATTTGCAACACAGCAAGAATAGAATGCACAAACAATTCCCTTAACACCTGGTGGCACACCCTCCCGTTTGCCACCACAGTCTCTGGGAAGAGTGGGTTCAAACTTTTAACAAGTTTCTACCTAACATCAATCCCAATAAAATCACTTCCAGATACAAACACAGCCACTAGATGAGACTGGAACTCAGCCACTGCCTCTGAGATTGTCAACAATATATCCTGTAGGCGTGTGGGCCGCCTTGGGCCGCCTGGGTCGCGCTGCACGAGGCGGCCGCTTCTTCGCCTTCCTGGGCCTCTTCTGCGCCGGCCAGGGCGTCTTCTGGAAATCTCTGGCTCCCGCAGCCTTGGCCGAGCCCGGGGGCGGCGCTCAGGGTGCTCAGAGCCCCGAGGCCGAGGACTGCGTTCCAGGCCCCGGGCGCCGCCCCAGCCCCGGATCGGCCCTCTGGGGCAGCGTACTGGCCGACAGCTGCGCCTCCGTGAGCTTGCTGGTGCTGGCTGCCAGGCTGCTCTTCTCCCAGCG